GCCGAGTGGGGTCCTTGCCAAGATATGGGAGGATGTTGCAGACGTATTTGGTTTTCAAGTCACACGCCACCCAAAACTTGATACCAAACTTGTCTGGTTTAGTTGCAATGTACTGTAGGAAACAGCAGCGAGTCTTGCACGGGAAAAGTTGTTCGTCAATAGTGATGTCTTGACCAGGAATGTAGGATGTGAAAAGAGGGACAAGAGGGACTCTGGAAAAATTCAGACAATGGCTTGAGCTTTCAATCACTGCACTATGGAACTATTGATTACACTATGGAAATACTGACTTGAATTATGTCTCATTTCTTTTACTTCTATATCTCTATATTATATCATAAATGTATCTGTCAACACTCTTTCCTGGTCATGTTAATCTTGTCTGCCTCAACTGACCTAGTATGTTTTTTTTGCACATTTTTTTGCAACTCATAGAATGTTCTTTGCACAATTATCTTTATTACTCTTACTTGTACATAACCATTTGCAAGGATGTACTAAATGATTGAGACATATACAAAAGCATTTGAAATTTGATGAAAGTTATGATAAATGCCATTCTGTTGTGAGGAACTGCAAATTAGTTTTGGGATTTGTCCATGTTTTGAGAATGACATCTCAATTTCAAAAAATGAGCCAAACCAAGGGAGAAAAACTGTATTGTAACACACTGGGGAGAAGCTGTCTGTCCCTGTTTGTCTTGGCTGTTACCACTGTGAGGTGTGACCCCCTCACCCCACACACGGCCCATAACAGCCTCATTACCATGACAAAATGAGTGATTAGTGTATTCGGGAAAAGCCGCCGGGACAATTGACCCCTCCCTGGAAGTTCTAGGTAGGCGGAAAAATCCTGGTATTTCTAGTGTTAAATGAATCAAGTGATTAGAATTTTTTGTGCGATTAATTGATTATTGCGACAGGCCTTCTCAAGACTTGAGACTTGACTTGGACTTGCAAAAAATGACTTGTGAACATGTCTGATGTATAATAATGATGATTATTAATAACAAGCAAGGTTGGGAAAAACAAAATAATCTCTGAATAAATTCTGTCCAGAACCTTTTAAGTGGGAAAACTTTAGATTCACTTTGTATAAAACCTTTTTTAAGGCTACTTTTTGCAATACAATTATTAATTCAATTCAGTTTATTTCTATAGCGCCAATTCACAACATGTCATCTCAAATTGCAGATACTATGATGGATAAAGTGTGAACTCTCCCTAAAAAAATCAATTTATGTAGGGGAGCTTTGCATTATTGTATTGACAGGTTTAACATGTTGTGCTATAAAGATGCTGCATGTGAGGGACCGAGATGAAAAGCATGAGGAGTCACAGAAAATTAACACAAAAATAGGGTTTTTTATTTTTAACCCAAAAAACAAACTTACAAAAAGTACATGGGTTCAAGTTATAAAAGAGGCCAACAAAAAAGAGAAAATTTAACTCACGCAAACTGTGCCCAAACTAACTGGCTGCATAAACAAATGTAACTGACCTCCCAAGAAATGACACACAAGGGTGGATATATATATATATATATATATATATATATATATATATATATATATATATATATATATATATATATATATATATATATATATATATATAGACCCACAAATTACAAACATTGGCAGTACAGTTGGGTTTGGCAAAAAAAACAACTAATCTTTATCTTAGAAAAATGAAAACACACCAACTGCAAACAAATCCTAAGTGAAAAATGCAAAAAATTAGAAAAGGAAATTTCATATCCCCCTTTAAGCTGCAGCTGATGGAACAGTCCAATTTCCCCCTCCTGCATTTAGCAGATCTGAACCCTGGCTGCCATCTTCTGTCTGGCCAAACTCCTAGGGACTATAGGTAAGATACAGATTAGTGACAAAAACAGAAAGAAATATGAATGAGTGCAAACAGATACAGTGAACTAAATGTGCGCGCTTACAAATAGAACACATGCATTTGAACTAAGAATAAAGTTTTATTGCAAACTAAAGTATGTGTATGGATTAAATAAATAAAGGTTCATGTAAAGTCCAGACTTAAGGTGTGGCCATGGGTTTGGCCATCACACTGCTGATTGTTTTTAACAGCTCAAGTTGCCGAGATGTGATTGTTAGATTGTTGGTTTCTGTATGGGGTAAGATAACGGTCAATAATATCGTTTGCGTAGAGCTTTGAATTTTAAATGAAAGTCAAAATTGTAAATAAATGTGGGATTTGTGGTTGTTCTTTGTTGTCAAATCATAGACGCATGTGGAATTAGATCTGTGGGATTACAAGTTTAGAAGTTATGAATACAAATTAGAAAGTTGCCTCTTTTCTAAAGTACAAGTATAAATCACAAAATGGTGAATTTAGGGATGGGAATAAAACTTTACTAGAACAAATCACACATTTCTGAGTAAGAATCACAAATTTAGAAGTAAAAATAATAATAAATAATAGTAGAAAAAATTGACAAGTTAGAATAAAAAATGTATGAGAATAAATCCCAAATTTGTAAGAACAAATTACCAATTTACGAGTAAATATCAAAAAAGTCATATGGAACTTTTCAATGTCATTTTTTATTTGTGAATTTGTGAATTGTATTTCTGCTGTTGTACTATTCTCATTCATTTATGAAAACAATGAGCAAAACACAAATTCTACATTTATCTTCATTATTGACTTTCGTTTACAAGTTCAGACCATCTACATGTATGATTTCATTCTTACCACATACTTTCTAGGCTAAATGTTATTAAAGGTGTTAGTGTGAAACCTGCCTCTGGCCACCGGAAGCATCTGACCCATCCAGCACAACTAGCTTAAAACATATTATTTAATGAAAAAAACGTAAGGAATTTAGATTCTGTTAATCTGTCATAAACTCGATTGATAAATGTCCAAGAATATTCAAATACTTTTTTTTACAGCATTTTGCTGTCAGATTTTAGCCCCATCAGATCTGTGCATGGCAACACTAACAGTTTTACTGCTCTGCAGCTCATCATTGTTAGCATGAACCTCTTGGCTGCTAATCTGATTCATTTCCTCACTGCCTAGCCTGTGACATACTGTAAGGGGGGGGCAGCCATGTCTCGGTTGGTGTGCACTTGTGCCAAACTGTTGCTGAGCTGAATTAAGATCTTTTAAAGCTTTGGAAGTTTTTTTTTTTCTATAATCCAACTCTACTTTAAACCTCCCCTAAAGTTGACCTCCGGACATGATGCTGTTTCTGCACTGATGTTCTTACAGATCGGCTGCATTAATGGTAACAATTACACATTCAGAGACTTCTGAGGGTTCTACAAATACGCAGATTTTTGTTTGCAACAAATTTAAATAAAACGTTGCACCATTTCTTGGTCTATTACTTATGCCAATATTCTGAAGCTACACATTTGGGTGTAACATAAGAAACTGTAAAACAAAGATGCTTCAGTCACCAAATACAAAATGTTTTTTAGCTCAGATGTTTTTTGTTTTTTTTAACAAAGTTGTCTAAGGAAGTAGAGGTTCTATCCAAATAGAGCCTCTGCTGTGGTTGTTAATGTAGTAGAAAAACTAAAAGCCTTATGAATGAGAGCTGTATCCTCTGATGGCATCTGTGCCTATATTCTATTGTTGCAGCTAAAGGTGATGTTTGTTTCCTTCCCTCAGCCACTCCCTGGTTGATCGCACCTTTAAGACCATCGATTTCTACAGAAAGCATCAGGATGACATGACGCCTGCAGGCCTGGCCTTCTTCCAGAGCCAGTGGGATGAATCGGTTACCAACACCTTTCACAGCACACTCAGTGAGTCCACTTTTATTTGAAAAAAAACAACCAAATCTGCAGTTTAGTTATACAGATGAAATGACGGATATGATTTTCCTAATGACATAAAGACTACCTTTATGTTGCATGTTTTTGCTTCAGACATGAAGGAGCCAGTGTTTGAGTTCATCCGACCTCCGGTATACCATCCTCCACAAGTCAAGTTTCCACACGGACAGCCGCTACGCTATCTGGATCGATACAGAGACGGGAAACAGCACACCTATGGCATATACTGATTATTACCATGCCAACGTGGAGTCTTTATGTTCTTATCATCCAAATAAAACGTTTCTCTGCTTCCCGGTCTGTTCTTTGGTTTTATGAGGCTCATTGTTTTTAACTTGTCCTGTGATTATTCAAGTATAAGGATTCATTATCAGTATTTCTTTTAATTTGTTAGTGAGGAATGGCACCAAAAGTGTTGCCACCGGTGCAGAGCTTACTTCATCTGGATGTAGTGTAAAAACTTTTAGACAATAGTTTTGTTACAAGTCATTAACAGGAGGAGACTGGAACAGTGTTATTCCATTAAAGTCCAGCTTCCCCCAAAATGTAGTCAAATTGGTAGAATTCTGCTCCAAGGTAAATATAATATGCATCGAATGCTTTAACTGTGGGTCTATGGGGAACCGGTTAGCTCAACTTTACAGAGAACCTTATATTCTCAAAGGACAGCTGGAGAATTAAAACACAGATTAAACACATTTAAGACCAGAATTAGTCTGAGACAGAATATGATCCAGATGCTTACGTTGCTGCATAAACTTCATCCACTTATTTCCTATAGCATTACTGTCAGCTTATCTATGGTTTAATTTTGTGTAAAGTGTAATTGTCATGTTTTCTCTGCAAATCTTTTATTTTTACCCACTGAGGCAGTTATAAACCAGAAAAAGTCTTAATGGACACAGTGGATTCAAGGAAATCTAAACTATTAAAGAAAACAGACCAATGGAAATCAGTCTGAACAAACTAGTTAATTGTTTGTTTAATAAAAGAAAAATCTCCTTGGGACTTGAAACAAGTCATCCAGCAGAGGGCAGAGTTAACCTGAAGGTTAATCACCTTTGGAGAAAAAAGTAAAGATTCTGAACTAAACAAGAGCAGCCAGACACTCATGTGAATAATAAATCTAATAAATAATGAATTGTCTCCAGTATTAGTAAACACAACACCACTCAAATGATTTATCATTTCATTTGAGTCCTTTAATTGCAAAATGTAAAAAAATCCAGATAGAACAAAAGCACATTATTAGTTTTCACAAACGATGAAATCAGAGATTAAACAGGAAGAAAACCAGAATCAAATTACTAAAGAAAAAAAAATAGAGGTTCAGTTCTAGATTGTATTTCCTGATTGGGTCCAAACTCAGGTTACAACCGACACAAACATCAAACTTCTCAGAAACACGCAGAGCCTTGCAAATGTATAGTCAAACCCTTTCAGATTTTTTTTTTTTTTACATTTTACCGCATCAGTATCACAAACCTTAATCTGTGCTGGGATTTAATATGATAGAAAAACAAATGAGTTGAATTTCAAAGCGGAAGGAAAATCATTTGCTTGCAGGTTAGAATCAGCAAAGGGAAACATGCAGAGTTTCAGAGTCACAGGGACCAACTTTCCTGTCCACAGCTCCCTCTGAGGAACCTCCATGGCCCACAGCGGGTTTAAACTCCATCCATAACCCAAAGGTTCTCCTCTCATCCGATGGACAAACACATGCAGGAAGGAACTAATGCAAAACTTTCCAACTAATAAAAATCTAAAGTGTCATAAAACCAGTGCAGCCAACTTCTCATTAGAAGTCACTTTATCACAAACACACTGAAGGGGTTGGAATACTTTTGCAAAGCACTGCAGTTTTAACAACATAAACCTTCAAAGGTACCATCAGAACAACAACGATTTAGTTTTATTAAAACCTGAGGTTTTAATAATGCTAGTTTGGAGGTTCCCTTCTTTAGGGGTTCCTCATGGTGGGACTCTTTGCTCTTAAATATAATCCAGTCAGTTATAAACATATCTATCTCAAACAGTGAATATTTGTGGTAAAAACAGATGCTGAGCTGCTTACTGTGTTTTTTTACGTTTCTACACCTCCTGCAAATATTCTAAAGTATGAAACAGTTTAATTGATGACGCTTTAAATTCAGCCTGCTTCCAAAGTCCTTCTTGTATCGTATGAAAATGGTCCCCGCTGATCCTGGAACCTGTGCAGCCTCTCCATCCTCCCGGACCCCCCCCCTGCTGGTTCTGGTCACGTCCGGGCCGCTGTCAGCATTTCCTCCACCGTCAGTAGTTTCTCTCTCGGTTTTCCACAAGCGTCGCCCCTCTTCGTCTCCAAGCTGTCGATCTTCTCCCAGTCAGAGAAAGTCACTGGTTTCACTCCTAAATGCAGAAAAGCACAAACGCTGAGCAGCTGCAGCAATTCAACCGGATGTTCAGCTTAAAATAGTCTTTTAACATAAAGGTGGGAGCGGGGCCTTTTAGGTCAATCAAAACAGAGCAGACTTTAGACTCTTGGCTAGCAGGATGGTAGCCCTTAATACGAGCTGAGAGAAAGTAGCCTCTGTTGTTTGGCAGAGACTAGACCTCTGGTTGATTTCCTAGTGCGTCCAGGAATGCATGGAGCAGCTGAATCACACATATTGCATCAATCATTTGATTTTATTATTGATGTAACATATAATTTTATTTCAATTTTATTGTGCAAGAAGAGAAATATCATTTTTTTTTCTTTTTTGTAGAACATCAGGAGTGAAAACAATATTCTATATGTTTCTTTAATACCTCACTTTCCTTCTATTGAAGTTTGCATGGTTCTGAGCTGTTGTTCATCTCTGCATTTGATCAATATGGTGCTATCAGTGTGAAAGCTAACAGGGGATGAAGGTACCTCTCTCCTCCAGCAGACGGCTGACGACCTGCGATCCGGTTCTGGCAGGAGACACGTCCAATGTTCCAGACTCCATGTCCTCCAGCAGGGATCGAGCCGTGTCAAAGCTGTTGTTCATAGTGGTGGCTATCACACCGGTGGGGCCTGTTTTCAGCCAGCCGCTGCAATATAAACCTGAGGAGACAGACTGAGGTATGAGGCGGCTCTTATTAAAGGATTTTTGTTTTTTTAGGAGTCTGTGACAAACCTGCAGCCTGGGGAACCCGGCCTAGTGAGTTTGGCACGATGGCTCTATGGGGGTCAAAGGGCACCGTGGAATCGATGGGGAGGCTCCTGTAGCCGATGCTGCTGATGACCAAACCACAGGAGACATCTTCCACCTCTCCTGTAAGAACAGCCTGAGCTCCATCTCCAGAACCCTGAAGCAAGAGAAGCATTGATCTGAAGTAGGAACCCTTACAGGGTCATCTAAGGTTCTGAAAACAAACCTTCTGCTCACCTCAAGCCTGTTGACTGCAAGTCGAATACCTGATGTTCTGTTGAGGTTCGGCTCAGACAGGATTTCTGTGGGGCTCCGGTAGAATCGGAAACCCCACACCTTGGTGGCGTTTTTGCGCCTCTCCAGCTCCTTATCTCCCGGTGCCTCTAGAGCTGTCTTCAGCAGCAGCTCGGTGAGACGCTTTCTGGGCCTCGCTACATCTGGGACGGCAGAAACCAACTTTAAGCTTTAAGTTATTCACCAAAATATTTACTGATCAGGTCTGAGAAGCTCAGCATGTTTGTTTACTCTTCATATGTACAATACTGATCTTCAGGCTAGAAAAATGATTTTCTTAGCTGGTATTTTTTTCACGTTAATCAGATAAAGTTTCAGGGCTAAAAATAGATGGATGTGAACAGCTGCATGATTTAAAATGGTGCGCAGTTGACCACATGTTATGTAGGATAAGAAAAGAAAAGAGAACAAACGGAACGATATGTCAAGGTGCAGCAACTCTGCAATGAAGCATGGTGGTGGCTGCATTATTCTCCTCAGCAAAGGCAGGGATGCTGGTGGGAGTTAATGGATGGAGGTAAAAGTTGGAAAGTTCTGCAAAAAAAAAAAAAAACTGCTAAAGGCAGCAAAAAGTCCTTAAAGTGCTTTAGAAACAATATTATGGAAGAAAGACCTGATCCATGGCTAGGCTGACGTTCAGTGGAGAATCTTTGGTTAGAAAATGGTTTGATATTCACGGCTGTTTTCCAGCTCATCAAAAGAAAAATTAACCAAAGATTCAGTCTCTTCATGTGCAAAAATGTTAGAGAAAATATCAGAGATGGACATCAAGACCTGATTGATCAGAACCGGTTCTAACCTTTCAGTTCCCCTGGAATCGTTAAATTTTCTTTATTTTAGTTTCCTAGATTCAACCACAGAGAGAGGGCTGCCTAATATCAGCGAAGGAGAATCTGTAGCACTGTAGGCAACCATCTGTGATGCAGCATTAGAAAGTGTGGCTTAAAGTTCAATAAAGTTATGACCAGTCAGCTTCCTGGGACCCTGGGGACAGGATGATGATGTGCAAAGGACGGCAAATAGCCAACATGATTAATCACTGCCAGAGTCAGAATGAGAGCCTCATCTTTGAGTGGCTGCTTCCCTGTTAAAATGTAGATTCCCTTTTTATACCAATTATACCAAAATTGTAAAAAAAAAAAAAAAAAAAAAAATTTAAACATTTTTAATTTAAGATAAAAATGTTTTTCGTCTGTCAATATGCTAAAAAAACTATAAAAGTTTAGTGTTATCTGGTTAAATTTAGCAAAAAGTCTTCTTTAAGGAACCTTTTGCTGTCCGATTATTAAAGGTAAAGTGGAGGATGTTCTTTTTCCCGGAGGGTCATCACCATAAATGCTCCTTCTAATTGTCAATCATTCTGGTGATGTGTTTACGTAAGGCCGTCCTACATGCTCATCCCCATTTTCACTTACCGGTGGTGAGTCTGACATAGTGGAAAGAATGCAAATCTTGTTTTGGAAAGTAAGCTTGTATGAGCGATGCAAACAACAACCTTTAAACAGAGCGTGCACGAGGAGAAATGTGCTTGTGCACGCTCTCGCACGAGTTTAATGGGCGTTCCCTTTTGGGAGCAGGTACGTGGTTGTGCATGTGAACATTTTTTTAAAGTGCAGAGGGCAGGTCTTTTCAAAATCTAGAGTAAATCCTCCACCATACCTTTAATCGAAAAAATAAACGTCAGATTATTCGATTTGCAAAATAATCCTTAGTTACAGCCCTAAACCAGATCTAAATCCAGACAGAATTCTAGTTAGCAGCTAATTCACATGGAAACTCTTCTTTTCAACCGAATCGAAAAAAGGAATCAGAAAAGGAATCTTTTAAATTCAAATGACGTTAAACCCTAGTCGACATATAATCCACATTAAATATGAACCTCCAGTAAAACAACCAAATTAAATAACTATAAACCAATTATATAAAATAACCAGTTTGCAGAGTAAAAACAGGAAAAATAAAGAATAAAAAGAGATTTAAATGTCAGTTATGCAGGTTGATGCTCAGCTTGAAAGAACCACCAATAAAGTTCATCTTTATAGTCTGGACCAAGGAGCGTCCATTCATGGACCTTAATGCTCTGATTGAGGTGGAAGGAGAAGTAGAAAGTGCAGAGAGGACAGCAGAGAGAATCACTGGATTGGGTGCACAAACTATAGCCTCTCAGCTCTGTTTTTACTAATTTCTATTTTAATTTCCTTTTTTTTTTTCAATATCCTGTGCAGGTGCAGCACAAACAGCTACCAGACAGCAGCTTCTAAAAATCATCCCTTGCTGTTTATAAGCTGAACTATTTACAGGGTCGAGGTTCTGAGAAGCCGCCTGAGGCCGAACCCAAGGAGACTGTTTTTAGCAATCGCTCTTGTCAATGCCGCGTCTCCATCAAGGCTAAAAGCTGTTGGCCAGAAGGTCAGCTGCAGAACGGCAGAGCAGCATTATCTGCTGCCTGCTCTGAGCTCTCTGTACGTCAGAAGCGATCTGAACCGATCAGCAGTTTCCGTTCAGCTCAGTATACGGGCCATAGGCCTCCACATACTGAGCTTAAACTGTTAACCACAACATGCATCTCTTCCTCTTATATGTCGGCTCAATGTTCTGCATTAGTCAAACGCAGATTTTCTCATGAACTCGCATGTTTTCTGTTCAGGTGATGGGAACTGAGATGGTAAAAAAAGAAATTATCTGTAAATCTTGAGTCAGACTTGGTATGAAAAAGCCTTTATCTGCCTCTGACCTTTAAGGGCTTCAGGGATGCCTTCAAAATCAGCTGCCAGCATCTCAGGCCTGGTTCCTGGCAGGTTCACCATTTCTCTGAGCTCCTGTAGACGAGGTGAGGAAGTCAGATACCACAAGAATCTGTTTTCAAAGCTACATCAGCAGCTTTAAACAAAAACAACCTGCTTTTGAACAGAAACCCAGAAATAAACCCAGGCTGCAGCTTTTCCCCAGGTTCCTCTGATTTATTGTCTTCATGCATCTTTTTGAAGTAAAATTATCTACTTCAATTATAAGTGATGACATCAGGATATTTGGCCGATATTTAGTGTTGGAATTTCACTTCACTGTGTTTAAACCAGACTCTTTATTTTTGAAGCTCAGAGAAGCAATTACAACAAAACTCAGCAAACAATTATGTTTATTCGGCACAATTCAGCCAAAAAAGAAGAAGCAAAGCATAAAAACCATTTCCTAAATTACATCTTCTACATTAATTATAGGGAATAGAAAAAAACCAGATGATGCTAACTAAACATATACGTGAGCTAAAGTTTTGGTTTGAAGTTTACACAACCCCAAATATAGAAGACGACAGCGATGATTCATCCCTGTTATTCTGAGAAGGATGAGATCATTTCCTAATCTGCTATAATCTATCAATCTATAATCAGAAATTATTCCAATAAGTGGAAACCCATAAAGACAGGGGGGTCAGTCTTTGGAGGTCAGGGTTACTTATGAACTTTTCATGCTAGCAAGCATATAAGGAAGCCAACTTAGAAAGCTGTAGTATAGTGAAAGAGCAAATCTACAGAAGTCTGAAAATGTCAACTTCTGGTGCAACGCTGTAAAGAAGAGTAGGTCAAACACCAGGGTTAGCTTGGCTTTCAGTGCAACACAAAGATCTGTCTTCTTGATAAAGTCCTGTCCCCCCGCCCCCACCCCTCTTTCTGATGATACACACCTTAATTGTGCAAGCGACCTGCATGGGTCCCCTCCTTCCAACTATCAGCACCTTCTGAACCCGACTCTCTGCAAGAGCTTCCAGCGCCGGCTGGGTAATGTCAGTTTTCTGAAAAAGAAAAAAATATCTATCAGATGGTAAAACACATAAATAGCACTGTGTTCCTGACATAATCTAAAGGTGTTTTAATACCATCACTGACATCATCAGGTTCCTTCATATGACTCTGCCTAATAGAACATTTTTAAGGGTTTATTAAGATTTTCATTTGAAAAACATTGAATTAAAGCGCCTAAATGAAGCGCCTTGCAAAAGCATTGGTTGTCTTTAAACATTTTCTCACTTAGTTTCATAAAAACCACATTCTATGAATGCATGCATCATAGGATATCTCATAATTGTGGCTTTTAAAGAAAAATGATTCATGGTTTTCTACTTCTTTTTTTTTTTTTATGAGCAAAAATGTAGAAAACTCCAGCATGCATTTATACTCATGACTTCCTCCCCTCTGACACCTTCCAAATCCATTCTGCTGCAGGGCCTAGATCAAAGCAAATTCCTGCGGTAGAACGGTCTAGTCAAAGTCTAAACTTAAATCTAGCTGAGAACCTGCAGGTAGAGCTGAAAGTTGTTGTTTATCTCCTTTTAATCTGACTGAGCTGGAGCTTTCTGGAAACAGAATGGGTGAATCTTCAGATGTGAAAAGCTGGTAGAGAGAGTGGATCTATGAAGGACCCTAACCCTTCTATATTGGTATCTACAACCGCTCAAAGGAAATTAAAGAAAAGGGATGATTTGGCTATTTAACAAGATACTTAAAATATATTATTTATTTTTTCTAGTTAAAAAAAAGGGAGAAAAATCCTTTCTCACCTTTAAAATATCTAAAGGAGAGAGGAGTATTCGGGCTACATCCAAGGCCACGTTGCCTTGTCCCAGAATGACGGCTGTTTCGCAGCTCAGGTCTGGATTGAGCTGGAGGAGGAATCCAGAAAGTAAAAAAAAAAAGCAGCTTATAAGATCTGATTTACATGAAAAGATGTGTATTTTTCTGCTCTACATACCTCCCGACAGCTGGGTAAGCCGTTATACCAGCCAACAAAGTCTTTGGCTGAGTAAACACCAGGCAGATCTTCACCTGGGATCCCCATCCTCCTGTTTCCCTCTGCTCCATAACTCTGCCACAAAAAAAAAAAAAAAACGTAAAAAAAAAAAGTTTGGATATCAGGAATCTCTGCACGCCTGCATACAGTCTGTGTTCTCACCAGTACGACGGCATGGTACGCCTGCTGCAGTTCGCTGATCGTCACATCCTTCCCAACATTTATGTTGCCATAGAAGCTACAGCGAGGATGTTTGGCTGTTTGGGTAAAAGTGTTGATGACATTCTGAAAAACCCATAAAAAGGTGTCAAAGTAGTCCTTTAGATATATTCAATTTACACTAATCTGTAGGTGTAAAGTAAATATGTTTGCTAACTGCTCTTTAGAGGAAAGCATTGCAATCACAAGAGGAAAACAATTTGGAGCCCATCTGCTCAGCCTGCTGATTAGATCGCCGGGTTTCCTTCATATCAATTTGTGACAATGCTAAGCTACATCTTCAATGCTTAATATAAAGTATGTTCTATAGGATGGTAAAATGTTTTGCAATCAGTGCACCACTCTGCACGGTACTCTTAAAGCAACATGACCTAAAAAAAAACACCAAAGCAAATCTAACGTTGAGCCAACTGGCCGTGACTGCGAGCTCAAAGGTCCCATAAAGCAACAGACCGCAGTTCCTGTTTGGCACCGTCTCAAAGTTCAGATCAAGGCTCTGAGATAAGATCATAAAATATGAAATCTCAGGAGCTAGAAGACAAAACTAGAGGCCCCGCAAATACCTGACTATGAATAAGGATTACTTATGCAAACTTAGGCTTTTGTATCTATTAGTTGCTGTTTTAATAGAACTGGTTTCACTTTGGTTTGTTTCTTTTTGCTCTCCGTAGTAAATGAATCATGCGCCATGCAAAAAGTAATTAAGTGAAAACTCTCACATGATGTTTTTAATCAACTTGCCCAGCTGTCTTAGTGGCGGTTTTCCTACTCAGCCAGTCTAACTACCTTCAGGCTGTCAGCAGGTTTGCAACAACACGCTTGTTGTGTGTTTTTTTGCTGACACCTTACCTTCGTCATAAACTACAAAGAGATGTTTATTTGCTCTTAAAACCTTTCACAATGGTTTTAAAATGCTGTGCATGTAATGGTTTCTGATTTTTCTGACATTTATAGACAGAAAAGTAATTTTCTGCATCCTTGTATAGCCCTGCAAACAGCAATTAACACCTTTTTACTGATTTATTTTATTTATTTATTCTCCTTGTAAGTATCTTCAGAAATTCCAGATTTGTAGACTAATTGTTCCTGCACCCCCGACTCAGGGTTACTGCAATGTTCTTGGCTACTTCTTTAATAAAAACTGACCAATAACTTTAACTTTTTTCTTCTACTTCTCATTTATCATTACTAATCAATAATGTGATCTTCTGCTGTGTGGTGAGCATCAGCGGGTGCACCTTGACTTCAGGGTGATCAGGGGCCACTCCGAACCTGACAAGGCCGAAGGGGACGGGCAGTCGCTCGTAAATGTCCACCTCAACATCCTGACGAGCCTGAGAGAGAAACCAGATTGAAAAAAATCAAGCATGAAAACTTAAAGTGAAAAATATGTCATTTATTTATAAAACCCTAATAGATCTAAAAAAACAATTCAACCCTACATATTAAAGCAAAATGAGAGAGAGGGGGGCAATTTAACAATAACAGAGGAGGGATGGACAATAATGTAGAAATATCATCCATCCATCCATTTTCTGTCACTCTTAATCCCAGTTGGGGTCGTGAGGGGTGCTGGTGCCTATCTCCAGCTGTCTATGGGTGAGAGGCGGGGTCCACCCTTGACAGGTCACCAGTCCATCCCAGGGCAACACAGACACAAACAACCATTCACACTCGCACCTAAGGGGAATTTAGAAAAGCCAATTAACCTCACAGTCATGTTTTCAGACTGTGGGAGGAGGACTGTGGAGATACCAATGGACATATAATATATCTCTGCAATGGAGGGCTAGTTGGAGAAAATGCAGAAATCAAAACACAAATCCTCATCATGTGTTTTTGGACTGCCCAACTATAAAAGGACAAATGGAAAGAGATAAATAGGGCCTTGCAAGACATCTTTTAAGCAGAACATTCCTATAGAAATCAGGCTTATGTATTTTGGTATAATTCCTCAAGAAGTTTCAAAAAGAAATACATACTTGATGAAAATTTTATTAACAGCAAGTAAGAAAAACATTACGAGAATATGGTTATCACCAGACAAATTTAGACGACTGGATCGATTTGATTTACAACATGTGTCATATGAAAGAATAACAGCCTGTCTCAATAACAAGACTGATCGATTTCTTTCAGTGGTGGCAGATTTGGGTAAAACTTAAAAGATCTGATTTAATTTTTAGAGACATAACTTGACTACATTTCTTGACAATTCACTTCCTTATGACAGCCATATTTCATAATTATTTTATACTATGTTTTTCATTGTTTTTTTTTTGTTTCATCTTTCACACTTTTTACTTCTTGCTTTATAATCTTTAACAGTAAAATGAGGTTGTATTTTTGTTTTAGACTATAATAATACAATGGCTTACACGCCCTTGTTTCAAATGGTGTGATGTGGAGGACTGCGCTTTTTAAAAAAAATTATACTTTCTTGAGAATCAATGAAGATAAAATAAAAACAAATTAAAAAATCAAGCATGAAAAAAAAAGCAAAAATATGCTTTATTATTATTATGATATAGAAAATTATCCATCAAACATGATCGGAATAATGAGGCCTGTTTGAAGAAACCAAGATAAGGGATTTAGTCAGGATTTTCTGCATACCTGGGCCTGATTGAGCCTCACAAAGCAGTAACACATCAGTTACCATGGTGATTTATTCTGTACACCTATCCTGCTCCCGACAAGGCTAGCAGCAAAGGCTAACTCCATCCTGGTGCAGCCACTATTTAGAAACCACTGCGTTATCAGTGATTCTTTTCCTTTATCTGCATGTTGTGGTATTTACTATCAGCCTACATTTAAATGCACAAAGATATATTGTTATCTAGTAAACGCTTTCATTATTTTACTATTATTTTGGTAACCCTTAGTGGATCATAATTTATCTCATTTAGAGCATTGGGGGGGGGGGGATCAGAGGAACAGCACTGCAGCGGTTCTGGTCCAATCTGAATGATCTTACATTTTGTGTCAGTCTGGGAAATTCTGTGTCCTCAAACGTTCATGTATTTGAAAGTAAAAAAAAAATCATATATTGTGATTTCTGGACTGTTTTTTATTTATTTATTGTTGTTTTCAGACTATATCTCTCACAGTGGATGTACACATATGATGCAATTTCAGACCTGACTTTATGGAGTTCCTCAGGGCTTAGTCTTGGCCCTCTTCTTTTTACTCTTTATCTTCTCCTACTTGGACCCATTCTTAGGAAGCATAGGGTCTCTTTTCACTTCTATGCAGACAAAAGTCAAATCTATGCCCAACTGAGGTGGAAAAAACAAACAAGCTCTGTTGAATCTCCTTTGAAATGATAGAATAATGTAAAAGCATGAATGGCTTTAAACTTTTTACATATCAATGAGAAAGAGAAGGAAGTGATACATTTACATCTACGCTATCTAGATCACTTTGTAAAGCCACAAATGTAGGCTTCAAAATAGACAGTTAAATTAACCTCAACAGGTTGTCACATCGGGGTTCTTTTCAGCAGCAGCAGCAGCTGGCGAAAATAAAGTAAATGCTGAGAAAAGCACACTTTGAGACAGTGATCCACACTTTTCTGATCCCCCGGCTGGATTACAGTAATGCACTTTATTTTGGTGTTAGTGGGTCTTAAATTTCCTGTCTGCAGACAGTTCAAAATGCTGCTGAACAACTTTTAACTGAGGCGCGTAAGTTTGAGCATTTCTCTCCAGTTATAAGTTCACTTCACTGGCTGCCAGTTAATATTACGATTCAAGTTAAAATTCCTTTATTTTGTTTTAGGTCTTTAAATGGTATTGCCCCCCCCCCATATCAGTCATGCTTCCTCTTTGACAATTTTTAAAGTCTCATCTTTTCTCTCTAGCATTTAATACTAAAAGGGATGTTGGTTGATTTTATGTTTTATTTATCTTATAAATATTTTCTAGTTCTTTTAACATTTTTCATCCTTAGTGCATTTTATGGTATTTCTGCTTTTGTACCTAACTATTGATTTGTTTTAATGTGCTATATAGATAAAGTTGGATTGGACTGGATTGGATTATTAACTTTATAGTTTTCAATGGGGATATTGTTACTGTTCAATATATTTTTTAAGTTATTTGTTGTTTATAGTTTGACAGAAAGGCCTAATGGACTTTTTCTCTGTTGAAGGATTAGAGAAATAGTTGCCTGTATGATCGCTACTACTTTTCTGTGGATGACATCATCTACCTTTGCAGACTGTTGGGTCCATTTATTCAGATGCCTTTACTCTTACAGTAATGGCCGCTCACACTGAGTCTGGTTCTGCTAGAGGTTCCTTCCTGTTAAAAGGGAGTTTTTTCTCTCCACTGTCGCAACAAGCATGCTTAGTGTGGGGGATTCCCTTCGAGTCAATGAGTCGATGCAATCAACTGGTTTTCCTTAGACAGAAAACTTTGAATAAATGTGACTGTATGATCTGGTTGAATTGTAAAGCGCCTTGAGATGACATGTGTTAAGATTGGTGCTATAGAAATAAACTGAATTGAATTGATAACAAACATTCATAATAACATATTTTCTCCTAAGAGGCTAAATCCAAAATTTGGTCCAAATCCTTTACCAATACAGGTGACTTTCATGGGATTTTTGTCATGAATTAAAAGTTAATCCCTTTAAAACAACTTCATACTAAGAGACTGACTGTGTTTGAACGTCGAAAGATTCCTCTTTCTGTTGCCGAGAGGAAATTTAACAAAAGATGGCTAAAAATGCCCTGTCTGCTCTGAGAACTAAGACCTAATCACGTAAAAAATATGTCGAGTTGGAGACACTTGGACGGACCCTTGACTAAAGGTGAGAAGATGCCATCTATTTAACTTTTTATTGCAGTCATGTTCCAGTTCTTATCTTCTGTTAAAAAAAACTAACATAAGTGAAATATTGAAGTGTTTTTTAAAGGAAGCATGGACCTTAGGTCCTATTCTTATATCCGACTGTTGATCTTGAATGCAGCTGTTTCCTAGTTTCCTTAGCTATCAAATCGTAATAGAGGATGTCTTCCTATATCCAATAGTTACCCTGATTCCATTTTCTCATTTCTTTCCAGTACTAAGAATGCAATAAGTTTAAAATTTTCCTGCATATGTTTAAAGTGAAGCTCTGTGGCTTTTAAAAACATAAAAGGCAAAACACCGACCTGAGATGAACGCTTTATATCACTGTTTTTAATCTCTTTATGGACTCGGATGTTGATGTAGGCTAAGAAGTCGGTTTCCAGGGTTTAGACCTTTTAATCACAGGTTATACTGGATTTTCACTGCTAATGCAGGTGCATAAAGACAAAAGGAAATGGAGGATGATGAAAATTAAAAAATCAGATGGAAGAAAGGAAAACAAACAATTTGATTCATAAAGGCTCTATAACTGAACCGGAAACAACTGGAGGAGGAACTAAAAAATCTTTACAGGCCCCTATTTGGATGGTTCTGCTTCAGGATCCCTATTAGTCTGTCAGTCCACCCGCCTCTGGCTCACTTCCTGTCTCCTTACTGACAGCTTTGCTCAAAGGAAAGTCCCCAGACTATCATTGCATAATAATAAAAAAAAAAGAAACGTTTTCCTCCCTCATAATCGGTTGTTTATGTCCTTTGAGAGAGACACTGTTCCAAAACAAAGCAGAGATAAAGATATTACCAGCAGGAGCTGACATGTTGCACTTCAACAGAGAAAGAGAAACAAATATGCAACAATTTCAAAATTAAAGTGTCTTTTTATCTCTGGGGTTCTAAAAACACGGCGTCTGAGCGACCGCAGGAGTTCAGATTACGTCCTTTGGAAGAGCCTTTTAACAGCCGCAGAACAATGTGCTCGCATCTCTGCTGAAGGTGAAAGAAAAGTCAGATTTCTGTTTGCTCACATATTTCTGAGCATCTATGAAGTCAATGTCTGTAAAGAGACATTTATATCTAGTGGTTGTCTGCTGCTCATAAGGAGTTCATCACTCAAATTTACCAGAAGTGAAGTGAAATCATTAGTAGAAGGTAAAATACAATGAAAGCAATCAAGCATTTTCATCTTAAAGCTGAGAATGCATCAGAATAAAGCTGGTGACTGAAACATGACAGCACGTCATTTCCTGTTCTAGTTTGACAGATTGTAAAAGATAATGAAGTATTTAAGGCTTGACACGTCTGCTGGAGTTATCATTACCAGTTTACTATAAATGCTCCATTTCCTCTGACCTCTTTTTTTTTTATGCATCTGCTGGTATAAATATTTATTACTCCTAAGGACAGTTTGAAACTGTTTTATTACGGCTTCTATCATTTGCATATAATTTAAGTTAATGAGAATCCCATTTTGTAAGAGTTTGGAAGATAATGGACTTTCTAGACAGCTAGAGATTGTCTTTAATCAACCAGATGCAGATCTACAGCATCTCTAGCAAAGTGTTGGATTTTTTTTTTTTTTTTTTTTACATATGCCACCATAGCTTTATTTGTCTGAGGAAAAGTTTCTCTACACTTTATGTTAAATTAAGGGCTGAAACTATTAATTTGTTAGAAATTGAATAATCACCCGATTCTTTTAGTAAATTTATACTTGCAAATAAAATTTTTTTTGGAATATAGAAAAAAAATATTTTTTGCACATATTCATTGGATTTGAGAAACATGTAAAAGTATAACAGCAATTGAATGTACAATAGGAAAATTGCATTAGGTTTGTTTTATTTAATGCTGTGGGCAGGTTATTATTTTAGTAAATAGTTTGTTTTAGAGTCTGTGTACCATTATTTTAGGCAATAATTTGATACTATTACCAAATGGATTAATTATTTGTTTTAATGGCACGCTTTAAAAAACTGGACACTCTGTCACGGTGGTCAGAGTGTCCAGCTGCTCCCCCGCCGGTGATGTTGTGTGGGAGCAGCTGGACACTCTGACCACCGTGGCAGAGTGTCCCCCCTGTAATTGACATTTATGCACTATTTTTGCACGCCACGTATCACTTTACTTGGATTTAGTTTTACATATGCATATATATATATATATATATATATATATATATATATATATATATATATATATAACTGTAACTGGAGCGTGTAACAAAAGTAATTTCCCTCTGGAATCAAACTATTTTATTAACTATTTTTATTTCTTCCAGATACAAACATCTCCTACTGTAAAAGTATTTAAGTCCTCCACCTGGTTTGATTTCTAGAATTTTACAACTGGATTACATCTTTTGATGATGACATCCAGATTATTTACTTATTCCAGCCCACAGCAACAATACTGTTCTGATTTTCTACTAAAACATAAAAACACTAATTGGACAGAAGCAAAAATAGTGTCTTTACATGGATTTGATGAGCTAAGCTCAGTTAATAAGGTTAGCTTTATCTGGCTCCTGACCCTTAGTAACATGAGGGATTTCATTACATTACATTGACAGTAATCCATCCCTTAATCACATCTCATTTGGATTACTGCAATTCTTTGGAGTTGTGTTAATCCCGAATCAGTGAGCTATCCTGCAATTGTCCAAAACAGGGAGTCTTTTGTGTGTCGTCTAACATGCAGGAAACCTTGTAATCGTCTATGTTGGCCTTTCCACTTCACTCTGTCACACATTGGTAGATTTAGGCTTTAGAGGTAATGATGGAGGCCAAATTTACAGTACAGTAAACTATTTGTTTGTATGTTTGTTGTTATAATTCCTTTTGCGTTTTGAAGGTCAAAAACCTTGAATTAATTTCTCACTACTGATGTAAATATCCCGACCAATTGTAGCCTTCAGTCATTAGAGACGACAATGACCTGGACTACAGAGAGGAGGGGGAGCAGTTGGTGGGTTGGTGCAGAGATTAGAGCCTGATCCTGAATGTGGAGAAGATGAAGGAGATCATCATCGATTTCAAGAAGATCCGGCCTAACCACGCTCCACTACTCATCAACAGCTCAGCACCAAATTCCTGGGGGTGCACATCACAGACACCCTCACCTGGACTGTAAACACCACCTCACTGGTCAAAAGGGCACAAAAGCGCTTGTACTTTGTGCGGATGATGAGGAGAGTCCACCTGCCCACACCCATCCTCACCACTTTCTACAGAAGCACCATAAAGAGCGTTCTGACCAGCTGTCTCATTGTGTGGTGTGGAGGCTGCAGCACCTCAGACTAGAAGAAGGTGAGAAGAGTGGTGGGGCTCCTCTCCCCTTCCATAAAAGACATTATATCCCAGCACTGTGTGTCCCGAGCCCGTAACACTATTAATGACCCCTCACACCCCCACCATGGACTGTTCTCCCTGCTGCCCTCTGGGAAGAGGCTTCACAGCATTCGATGCAGGTCCAGCAGATTCTGCATCTGCTTTTTCCCCGCTGCCATTAGACTGTTGAACTGTTGAAAACTCTAATCAAGTCACAAATTGAGATTCTAAATCACACAATATCTTATTTGCACTACAAGGCAAATTTTCAAATCCCTTTAAATAGAATTCAACTCATTGTTTTACAGCATTTTCCAGGTCTGCAAACAGAAAGAGACTCCACTGTCACTGGTTAGGCTCCATAGAAGTTTGCTAGCTTCCACATCAATGCATTTTGCACCATGTCTCTCCTACATTGTTTACATTTTTGATCACTGCTGCACTTTATAAATTGAAATGTTCATTTCACTACTAAGCTGTTCATTCAGTGTTGAAAAGCTGTGCGCATAAAAATTTCATTTTGTATACACTCTGTGTATATAATACGGCAATGAAATGTGTCTAAGTCATTAGGTCACCAGTTCAAATGAGAAACAAGGTAAACCAGTCAGTTGTATGCATTCAGACCATGAAGGGCTAATATCAGCACAAAATTCTTAAATTAATTATTTTTCAACCCTTTTTTATGCAAGTATTCTAACTGAGATCAAGGATTTCGCTTGTGGACAGCGAGCTTCCTTCATCAAATATTCAGTTGATGAAGGCAGAGTTTATCTACCTGAGCTACAGATAGTGCTTTGTATTATCAGAACCGGAAGTACACACCTTGATTAGATGCTGTGCCGTGTAGAAACCTGCTGGACCGCTTCCAACGATACACACCTTCGGGCAACTGGAAGTAGACAAAAATGCCTTCCCGCTCCAACCAGTGCCTACAAAATGACAAGTAGATGAAGCAAGGAGGAAACAAGGGCCAGACATTTTACACCTTGGTACATAATTAGGTCATTAAATAAATTATACAAAAATAAATCAAGCAAACAGACAATAAAATCTAATTTCCTTTTGACCTTCAAAATAAATATTTCTGTACATTTTAAACACAAACAAATTTAAAGATATAAAGTAAAATTTTCTTACTTTAATAACCTACATATTCACATGTTGATGAGATGTTTAAAGCATGCTTGTATTTTGTTTTTTAACGTGAACCAGAAACTCTCCTCATCCTCCCTTCGCCTTTCTGTCCTCCAATAAGCTTTACCTATCAGAGTCGGTTGGGCGGAGCTTACACTGTTTCCTGCAACGTGATTGGTCTGTGGCTACGCTGCTGTCGAGCTCAACCAATCAGATGTTAGGGTCTATCTCATGATGCTCTTACAGCTTAAATAACTTTATGGACCGTAGAAAACTATTTATATATTATGTATATATATATGGTGTTATAAGCTTTTGACGTACTGATGGTTAAATTACGCAGTAACTTTTTAATTGTGCATTTAATAAATATCTTATACGTTTGGATAAATCTGAATAAATGTATGTATCTCGTTTTTGTTTTTGATTTTAGCACTCATAACCCTACTTGGAGATAAATTAAAATTATTCAGTAATGTATCCAATAAAGCTAGGGTAAAGCTTTCAATAAAGGCAACAGGACAGTGTCTCACCTTTATTAAGTCCCCGTTTCCATTTGTTTCCTCCTGAAGTCCATAGCTTTAGCTGAGACAGCAGCAGTCTGCAGCTGCTCATGTTTCCTCCCTTTGTACAGACGAGCTTCCACACATCAACCTAACAGCTGGGTGTTTGTACTGCTTTCCGCTGACCAGCTTCTCATTGCTCGGTCTGCCTGTTTGTTTCTGAGCTTTGCTCAGGAGGACAGAGGATCAAAAGCCAAGGTGGGGACCGTTTATCCTCACTGTCACTGGCTGCCTGTCCTTCATTGGTTTAGCTAAAGCTCTCAGCTAACCCACTAAGTTCACCTTCAAAGTCATCTGTCATCTAAATAGCTATTTTTTTTTACTTAAAAGCTAAGTTATGGATATATTTTGTTTATGAGGATGCACTTTGTGTTACAGCAATAACAGTCCGTATAAACCAAACACAGGCCGCTATTGGTTCCACATTCACAGCTCTCTCATCTGTTCTTAGCTTTAACCCCACAAATAAATAAAACCTGAAACTTAACATTAAAAAGTAATTTACAAATTTAAGTATGAATTTATTTAAAATATAAATACTTTTATCATCTTAGCAGTAACTTTTTATTGCAAGGACCTATACCTGCAGACACAAATTGTAGAATCATTACTGCAGTGGATTTATCTTTTCTTAGATGCATTTTTATTTGCAGAAAATATACAAATAAAAATATGTCCTGATTTAATTTAATCCAGAAGATTCTAAAGCTAATTACTTGTTATAATAGAGTTAAATCTTGATCATTTATATACATTTGTTTGTGTTATATGTTCTTCTTAAGGTTTCTCCACAGAGATACAGATTTAGGCCTGCCTCTGTTTGAACTTCAGTACTTGTGATAGCAGCCAATTGTGGTGGGATGGTGTTCCACCCTCCCAACTACACACACCAGGTGTAGTGACTGATTGGGGGGCGGGGCAGATAGCTTTAAAGCTGAGCAGTCCGCTGCGAGGTGCGTGTGCTTTGTTTCCTTACCGTGTGTCGGCTGCCCAAGTGGCTGGTGTGCTCGATCCACTCATCCAAAATAGTAAGTGCCATTTTGCCATCTGGGCTGGGGATTGTTGTCGGGTTCTGGTGCAATACCTGCCGTGCGTTTCTGCAGCGTTGCGCGGCTGGCGTTGGCGGCTGCAGTTGGAGGTTGGTGCGGCGAGCGGCTTCCGTCCAGCCCTCGCCTGCTGATCCGCTCCCTCCCTGGTCGGCTGTGTCACCACATCTGGGATTCTTCCGGAGTTGCAGCGCTTGGACGCTCCTGCTGTCTTGTCTGTCTTGCCGGTTTTGTTTGGGCCGCTCTCGGCGGAGCCTGCTGACGCTTGGGCTGGCGGAACGAGCGGGGCACGACTCCTCTGGCCCCGTGAAAAGACATTAGAAGTCGGACAACGACAGTTTGTCCCATCGTTTGCAGTGGTTGTGTTCTTTTCTTTGCCGTTTGTTTGCTTATTATTTAAATTACTAATTTGTTTGCTTTCCTTTGTTTTGATTTACTAATTTGTTTTCTTTTGCATTGCATGATTTGTTTGTTCATTCATTTTTTTGGGAATAATTTAAATTGTCCTCATTTTTGATGCCTTTTCCTTCTAGGGGCTGAGTAGTGGGCCCGAGGCCATGTTTTAAAAGAAAAATGTTTTAATGAAATTTGTTAATAAATCATTGGAGACTACTCCGTGCTCTGGTGTGTCTTGCCTAAAAAGATCTACCTCCTCCAACTCCATCCTACCTCCGGTGGATGGAGTTGGTCGGCAGAATGTGACGGTTGGAGGTTCGCTGGGCGCTGCTCCTTCCCCAGCTGTGGCTGGTGGTGTCATGCCTGCTGGCGCTGTGGTTGCTGAGCGGTTGGTGGTTGTGCCCAAGGACCGGCGATGTCCCATGTTCGGTGGTAGGACTGGCATTGGGATTGGTGAGTGGATCGAGGAGGCCCAATCATGTATTCGGGCCCGCCATTTGTCAACGGCAGACCAGGCTTTCTTCCTTTTTGATCATCTAGAGGGGGAAGCAAGGGAGGAAATAAAGTACCGCACCAGTGCAGAGAGGAATGATCCAGCTAAGATCTTGGCTATTTTGAGGGAGTTGTATGGTTGCGCCGAGTCCTATGTAACTCTTCAGCATGCATTTTTTTCTAGGAAGCAGCAAGAGGAGGAAACACTGTTGCAGTTTTCCCTAGCATTGATGGCCCTTATGGAACCAGTTAAGCAGAATGCTCCTGATGGGTTGTTGAATGCTGATATTCTGCTGCGTGACCAGTTTGTAGAACATGTGTTGGATAGTGCTCTCCGCCGGGAACTTAAGCAGTATGTTCGGGGTCATCCCACTGCCACCTTGTTGGATGTGCGTGGGGAGGCAATTCGGTGGGAGAGGCAAGGGTTTCCAGGTGGCGCTAGGGAGCGTAGTCATTCTCTCCCTTCTACATATGGGCTGCAGTACAGGGTGTATGGCAGTTCTCGGCTAACTCCACCTACTGCTGCCTGTTCTGAGTTTAGTGAGTTAAGGGAACTTCTAAAACAGCAACAAGAACAGATTAACCAACTCACCCAGTGTATTGCTTCTCTGCAGACCTCTTTACCACAGGTGCGGCATCCTCGTCCAGGTTCTGTGGTCTGCCACAGGTGCCAACAGCCGGGTCACTTTGCCAGAGAGTGTGATGGTGAGCGGGTTCGTGCCCGGGTTAACTCTGTGGCAAGGCCAGCTAATGTTAACCAGGCGGAAAACTAGCACCCACTGAGCTGTTGAGCCACAACTCAGGTGGGGGAATAGCAGGCTCGCAAACAGCAGCCGCGTCAAAATTGTTGGCATCCTGCCCAGTCATTGATGTCGTCATGAGTGGTGTCTCTGTTACTTGTTTAGTAGATACAGGTTCCATGGTGTCGACAATCACCGAGAGCTGTTTTCAGGAACATTTTGCATCATTGGGGCATGATGGCCTTCAGTCATGTCACTGGCTGTAGCTTCGGGCAGCCAATGGTCTTTCCATCCCATACATTGGCTATTTAGAGTTGGATGTCACTCTGGGTAACAAAGTGCTTCCTCATTGTGGAATTCTGGTTGTGAAGGACCCCACTAATGTTGGTTCTTCTGTTCCTGGCATTTTGGGAATGAACATAATTAATCGTGCCTACCAAGAACTTTTTGGGGCACATGGAGGCTCTTTCTTTGATTTACCTTCAGTAACACAGTCTCCTGGTCCAGTTGTGGAGGCCCTGCAGCAGTGTCATCAAGCAGCAGCTAAGTCCCCAACACAGTTGACTGGTGCTGTTAGGGTCCGGGGCCCTCGACCAGTGAGGATAACTGGTGGGGTTATGAAATTTGTAGCTGCAACCTGCCCTGAACAACTTGCTGGTCAGGTTTTATTGTTTGAGCCTCCAGAGTCCGGCTTACCAGCTGGCTTATTAGCCTCTACATGTCTCATTCAGGCTGTGCACGGTACTGCTTATGTTCCTGTCCTAAATTTTGGAACTACGGATGTTGTACTCTATCCCCGAACTCACCTTGGTTTGTTGAGTCGAACTGAAGTGGTTAGCCTGCCCCGTGATGTGACAGAAATAAGACCCTGTGCTACAGTTTCTTCTCAGGTCGCTCTTGGTCCAGAACAGAGTTTGCTTGATTCTGTTGATTTGTCTGCACTGACAGAAACTGAACAAAGGCAGGTCCAGTCACTTCTACAGAAGTACAGCTCTGTTTTTTCAGCTCATGAAGGTGACTTGGGGTGCACTAATCTGGTGTCCCATGACATTCCCCTGTTGGATGAGGTCCCGGTCCGGCAGAGGTACCGACGTATCCCTCCCTCAGAGTACGAGGCTGCCAAGTCACACATTAATCAGCTCCTACAGAACCAGGTAATAAGGGAAAGCAGCAGTCCTTATGCCTCTCCCATCGTTCTTGTTAGGAAGAAAGATGGCAGCCTGCGTATGTGTGTGGATTACCGTCAGCTTAACAGCAAGACGAGAAAAGATGCTTTCCCATTGCCTCGCATTGAGGAAAGCCTGGACCATCTTTCTGGGGCCCAGTGGTTTTCCACCCTAGATCTAGCCAGTGGGTACAATCAGGTTCCTGTGTCAGAACAGGATAAGTCAAAAACTGCTTTTTGTACGCCATTTGGACTCTTCGAGTGGAACCGTATGCCTTTCGGGCTTTGTAATGCACCTAGTACCTTTCAGCGTCTAATGCAGAGGATGTTTGGGGACCAGCAGTGCCAGTCTCTTCTTTTGTATTTGGATGACATCATTGTGTTTTCAGGTTCAGTCTCCCAGCACATTGAGCGCCTGGAAACCGTTCTTGCTCGGCTCCAGAGAGAAGGTCTGAAGGTAAAGCTTGACAAGTGTTCATTTTTCAAGCGACAGGTTAAATACTTGGGACACCTTATCTCAGATAAAGGTGTAGCTACAGACCCAGCCAAGACTGAAGCTGTGGCTAAATGGCCACGTCCCACACATGTTTCAGAGCTTCGCTCCTTTTTGGGCTTTGCAAGTTATTACAGGCGCTTTGTGGAGGGTTTTGCTAGGCTAGCGGGTCCGCTTCATAGGCTGGTGGCACAACAAGTGGGCACAAAGCCCAGGAAGGGGTCTGGCCAGGCTTTTCAATCTGCTTGGACATCAGAGTGTGAGGAGAGCTTTGAGGCCTTAAAAGTTAAATTAACATCTGCACCAGTGTTGGCATATGCTGATTTTTCACGTCCCTTCATTCTAGAGACTGATGCCAGTCACAGTGGACTTGGGGCAGTACTGTCACAGGAAACAGAGGATGGAGTGAGGCCCATTGCATATGCCAGTCGAGGTCTTAAACCTTCGGAGCGTAACATGGCCAATTATAGCTCTATGAAGTTGGAGTTTCTGGCATTAAAATGGGCCATGACTGAGAAGTTCCGGGAGTATCTCTTGGGCCACCGGTGTATAGTTTACACAGATAACAACCCGTTGAGTTATCTTCAGTCGGCCAAGCTTGGTGCCATGGAGCACCGTTGGGTTGCGCAACTTGCTGCTTTTGATTTCGATATTAAGTATCATTCTGGACGCAGCAATACTAATGCTGATGCGCTTTCCCGCCAGCCAACATCAGGAGCCAGCCTGGCAGAACTCTTGTCATGTACCTCTGTTCCAGAGGCTCTTCAGTGTGCCCCAATTCCTGCTCCATTGTCGGTAACCCAATCTATGGTGACTGTTTTGCTGTCTCATTCTGTGTCTGATCTTTGTGCTTTGCAGGAAGCTGATCCTCTCCTGAAGGACATTTTGGGTTTTTGGAGGAGGCAGGTTTATCCTACTCCTGAGGAGAGGCAGCGCTTTCCCAAATTATCCTTGGTTCTTTTGAGACAGTGGGGTCGTCTCGTGGAGAGAGATGGTGTGGTGTACCGTCGGGTCCATCGGTCAGATGGTGGTGAGGAGGTCTTACAGCTGGTTTTGCCGTCAGTTCTTAAACCGGATGTTCTGACTCAATTACATCAAGAGCATGGACACCAGGGTGTGGAGCGCACCACAGAGTTGGTACGGCAGCGCTGTTACTGGCCGGGGATGTCTAATGACATCAAACAGTGGGTACAAGAGTGTCAATGGTGCCAGGTTGCTAAAAATGTACCATCTAGCTCTGGCACTTTCATGAGTCATCTGTTGGCTTCTCAGTCAAACGAGATTGTTGCCATGGATTTTACCATGTTGGAGCCTTCACAAAATGGCCTGGAAAATGTTCTTGTAGTTACTGATGTATTTAGTAAGTACACCATTGCTGTTCCAACTCGGGATCAGAAGGCAGCCACTGTTGCCCAGATTTTGCTCACTGAATGGTTCTTTAGATTTGGGATTCCAAGTCGCATTCATTCAGATCAGGGTCGGAGTTTTGAGAGTGCGTTAATTCAGGAGCTCTGTAACCTGTATGGGGTTAAAAAGTCGCGCACTACCCCTTACCACCCTGCTGGAAACGGGCAGTGTGAGCGCTTTAATCGAACACTTCATAATCTGCTGCGCACTTTACCAACATCTAGGAAGCGGGATTGGGCTTCCTGTCTTCCACAAGTACTCTTCTGTTATAACACTACCCCTCATCAGAGCACTGGCGAGTCTCCGTTTTTTCTTATGTTTGGCCGTAAACCTCAACTGCCTGTGGATTTCTTGTTGGGTCGCATTCGGGACCCTGCACCAGGTGAAGTGGTGGACTGGCTGGCTGAGCATCAGACCAGGTTAACTATGGCGTTCCGTCATGCTCAGGATCACTTGTTGGCAGCTGCAGGGCGTAGAAAAGAGCATCATGATCAGGGCATCCGGGAGGTTCCATTGCAGGAGGGACAGTTGGTTTACCTGCGCGATCATGGTGCTAGAGGTCGCCATAAAATCCAGGACCTCTTTAGCCCGGTTATCCATCAGGTCGTGAGAACTCCAACAGCTGGAGGGCCGGTTTATACTGTGGCGCCTGTGGGTGATTTGCAGAGAACTCGAAAGGTGCATCGTGACATGCTGAAAGCTCGGGTTGGGCCAGAGCCTACGCCAGTACCCCTGCAGTTAAAACCTACCTTTCCTTCAGGGGGACTGGATGACTCTTTGGAGGATGATTTGTGCTTATTGGTCCCCGATACTTCAGTACCATCCACCTCTGCAGCTCCACAGGTCGCTTCAGGACATGGTCACCCTGCTCAAACTTCTGGGACAGCTCCTCTACCCTTGCGTCGCACTGTTCGTTTTGGGGCTGGTCAGCACTCGAATGTCCATCACCTTCCTCGACCTGTGGGTCATACTGCAGGATCTAGTCAGCCAGTCTCCAACTCCCAGTTAGCAGTTTTTCGTCCTTGGTGCTGAGGTTTGTAGATTCATCGTCGGGGCGACGATGCAACACAGGGGGGTAGAATGTGGTGGGATGGTGTTCCACCCTCCCAACTACACACACCAGGTGTAGTGACTGATTGGGGGGCGGGGCAGATAGCTTTAAAGCTGAGCAGTCCGCTGCGAGGTGCGTGTGCTGTGTTTCCTTACCGTGTGTCGGCTGCCCAAGTGGCTGGTGTGCTCGATCCACTCATCCAAAATAGTAAGTGCCATTTTGCCATCTGGGCTGGGGATTGTTGTCGGGTTCTGGTGCAATACCTGCCGTGCGTTTCTGCAGCGTTGCGCGGCTGGCGTTGGCGGCTGCAGTTGGAGGTTGGTGCGGCGAGCGGCTTCCGTCTGGCCCTCGCCTGCTGATCCGCTCCCTCCCTGGTCGGCTGTGTCACCACATCTGGGATTCTTCCGGAGTTGCAGCGCTTGGACGCTCCTGCTGTCTTGTCTGTCTTGCCGGTTTTGTTTGGGCCGCTCTCGGCGGAGCCTGCTGACGCTTGGGCTGGCGGAACGAGCGGGGCACGACTCCTCTGGCCCCGTGAAAAGACATTAGAAGTCGGACAACGACAGTTTGTCCCATCGTTTGCAGTGGTTGTGTTCTTTTCTTTGCCGTTTGTTTGCTTATTATTTAAATTACTAATTTGTTTGCTTTCCTTTGTTTTGATTTACTAATTTGTTTTCTTTTGCATTGCATGATTTGTTTGTTCATTCATTTTTTTGGGAATAATTTAAATTGTCCTCATTTTTGATGCCTTTTCCTTCTAGGGGCTGAGTAGTGGGCCCGAGGCCATGTTTTAAAAGAAAAATGTTTTAATGAAATTTGTTAATAAATCATTGGAGACTACTCCGTGCTCTGGTGCGTCTTGCCTAAAAAGATCTACCTCCTCTGCTGGTCACACAATCATGACATATTTTTAGATTAACACATTTTAGTGTTTACTGTTTTTTAAAAGAGGCTTCATACCATATATGAACATCGACTAAAGACAGCATTTGCTTCAAGAGCAATGTTTCCTTAAGGTTGTGCTGTTTAGTAGTATCTTCAATATGTTAAACAGAGAGTGTTGTAGTTACATAGTCATAGCCAGTATTGATTATATTTTCAAGCAACCTTTCATTAAAAGTTGGTCCCAAAGTTGTGAGCAAGCTTTAATGTGTAACCATAATTTTGGGGTTAGATCTTTTCTGCCATTTGTTAAAATTCTAACCTTAGACTTCCCTGTCACTCTGGTACATGGTGTATCATGTATCTCATTTCAAGTAGTTAGGGCCATTTACCGAAAGCAAGTCAATGTCCTGTTTCTATGAAAATTGTAAAATCATGAAGGCCAGTTTTAACTTTTATTCAAATGTAAAAAAAAAAAAACCTTTGGGCCATTAGAGCTATTATTTTCACATTATACCATATACATGCTGTTCATCAGGTGTGGTTTGAGTTAAATGTTGTACAACTGACCCAGATTAATTACTGGAGTGTTTACTTACCTGTCTGAGCATGGCAGCCACAACTATTTTATTAATTGTATTGTTATCAGAGGTGTCAAAAGTACACACATTTGTTTCTTAAGTAGAAGTATAGAAACTGCAGTTTAAAAACACTATGGTAAAAGTTGAACTTTCAACTTGACCTCTTTACTCAAGTAAAAGTGAAAAAGTATGCGCTCATAAAACTACCTAAAGTATAAAAGTATAAAGTAACCTTTAAAAAGTAACCTTCGAAAAATTATTTGAGATAGTCCCAAGGATGAGGGAGGCCTTGTTGGTCTCCATCTCCCGATATGCTCTTGCCTGTGTCCGACCTTTCAGATATTTCAACATCTTTTTCTGGATCCAATATTGTAGCATGGCATAGACAATTCTCGTTTACAGTTTGAGGAACACCTGCTTGCTTCAGATGATTTCCTTTAGCTAACCAATGAGTGTTTGCGTTATATGACTCATCCAATTACACTAGTTTTCACTAGATGTGAATTGGGCCAATGATTTTTATAAACATTAAACCAAAGCCAAGAGTAACGAGTAACGATTGTTTTAAAAATGTAAGGAATAGAAAGAGATACTTGTGTGAAAATGTAATGATTAGAGGGCAGAATTAGGAAGAAAAATAAGCGATGGAGTAAAGTATAGACACCTAAAAAGTGTACTTAAGTACAGTAACGAAGCATTTGTACTTTGTTACTTGACACCTCTGATAGTTCAGTCTAAATCCAAAGATAGAGGATAGTTCCAGCTGGTTGGCTGCCAACGCGGCACGGCGGATGCCGCACAAAGAGTCCCAGAGAGTTATGTATTGGTGGACAGAGGACAGGCAGGATATCAGAACTGAGCAGACAAATGTATTCAGGGTGCTCCAGAGGTCGAAGCAAAAGCTGATGTCGGTGACACGGTCGTGTGTCAGTGCCAGAAGGTCAGAGATCCTGTGAAGTGCCGAAGGAGAATCCAAGACAGATTCGGGTCACAGTTCCACTTGCAGTACACAAGCAGCCAAAAATCAGGCAGGAGTCATAAGAAAGGTCAGGCTAACAGAGGAATAGGCAGGCTCAGAGGTCAAGAGGCAGAACAGGTCAGGATTAGGTAGTCAGAAGACAAGAATGCTAGAATAAATCTCACCAACGGCTCGAAATAATCTGGCACTGATGACTGGTCAGAAAGCTGGTTATATAGTGACTAATGCAGGTGGATCAGATGAGTGGGTAATGAAAACTGGACAGCGCTAAGCAGGTGCGTCCATCCAGTCATCCATCCTCTTCCGTTTATCCAGGGTTGGGTTGCGGTGTCCTGGGTCTCCTCCCAGTCAGACATGGCCAGAACACCTCACCAGGGAGGCGTCCAGGAGGAGCTGAGCTTCTCACCCTTTATCTAAGGAAGAACCCAGACACACGATGGAGAAAACTAATTTCAGCTGCTTGTATCTGGGATCTCGTTCTTTCGGTCATGAACAGAGGGTAGTAATGTAGATCGACCGGTAAATCGAGAGCTTTGTCTTTTGGCTCAGCTCTCTCTTCACCACAACAATCTCCCGCTACAACTTCCTCTCATTCATGGACAAGACCCCAAGATACTTAAACTCCACTAGAGGCAGTACATCCTCCCTAATCCGTTGAAGGCCCTGTAGCCTTTTCTGAATCAAGACCATGGTCTGGAGGCACTGACCATCAGTCCAACCGCTTCACAATCGTCTGTGAACCGCTACCCTGAGAGCTGTAGATCACGCCCTGATGAAGCCAACTTTTATTGTCATTTGTCTTAGTCTATGTCTACCCATGCCCCGTGATGGCTATATCCCCCAGAAGTACAAGGGAGACCCAAACATACAGGCATCAAGATGATGGGCAACAAGTATGCCCACTCCTGCTTGATGCCTCTCACCAGGGGCAACTCCAGAGTGGAAGAATGTCAAGCCTCTCTCAAGGAGACTGGTTCGAGAGCCACAGTCATATTTTAAGGTAAGTCCCACTATCTCTAGCCATAACCTCTAAACCTCGGGCACTAGCTCAGGCTCCTTCCCCACCAGCACCAGGGAGTTGAAATTCCATGTTCCAAGAGCCAGCTTCTTCAGCCAAGGATCAAAACACCAAGGTTCCCGCCCTCGACTGCCACCCAACCCCTTTGGGCCCTCCTACAAGTGGTGAGCCCACTGGAAGGGGGGCCAATTCTTCCTCTTCGCAATGTCCAACCAGGCTCCATGGGTAAAATCCCAGCAACCAGGTGCTTGCTAGCGTGCCCCACCTCCAGGCCTGACTCCAGAGTGGGGCACGCTAGCAAGTGACCTGCATCTGGGCGAGGGAATACTATATTCATTTGTTTTACTCATCATAAGGGGTCTTTGGGCTGCTCTTTGTCTGTTCCCTCACCATCTGCCTTTGGTGACCCCACACGTAAGTAAGTGTGTGAAATGAGTAATCAGACCAGGCATCAGTGCTGAGATCATGACAGATTGTTGTTGTTGTTAACTCATTCCAGATGTTTAGGGTGCATGATTTGCTAACTGTAGTGTTTCTCAGCATATAATCCATTTAAACCCAAACAGAATAGGTTCACAAGTAGATATTTTTTTTATCATAATTGATTGTGTGAAACAGTATCAACTTCTCCAGGTTCTCCCTTATTCCTTGGAGGATAGAGCATTTTGAGAAGAATGCTGGAAACTTGGTGAGATCTTAGAATAAGACCTGTTCTGGTGAACTCTTACTTTTTGATAAATAAGCCCTGATATGAGTGCAACCCATCTAAATTGTGTCTTCTTTAAGCCCCTGTCTGACGATTTAGACGGCATATGTATGACGTCCCAGAATCATTAAAAACTCTGGCATACACTGAATTTTCTATGCATGTTTTTAATTTTGGGTGTATACATACACTATTCATAATGAGTCCAGAACTCATGTCCAGCAACAGCCTAACTTATGCATAACGCATACGTCAAGAAAATTGACATATGCAAAATTTTGAGCATGCTCAAAGTTTCTTGACATACTTGTCATATGTTCATGTGTGCCAGCATGCTTTAGCTTGCTCTTGACTTATACAAAACTGACTCAGAACTTATCCATTGTATGCCAGCCTTTTTGCCAGATTTTTTGTACGTCAAACATACGCTGGCTAAACGTCAAGGTGTGACAGTGGCTTTACTAGTGAAGATGGTTTTACCTTTCCTTTCCTTCCTGTCACAGACAACCAGCTCAAATTTGAGAGAAGTGCAGATTTGCTGTAAAAACAAAGAAAATCAAAAAGGTGACTTTATCAAGAATATAATTTTTGGAGTCTCTTTCTGTTTGCAGACCTGCATGTTCTTTACACTGCAAACAGCTAATGTGGGACGGGAAGATGAATTCTTAGGGTGTCTTCTCAAAGTTCTCAAATCTCAGAATGTTTTTTCTCACACTTTATTTTTTAATTTCACAACCACAGTCTTCAAATATCTTTAATGCGACTCCGTGTGACAAAAATTACAAAAAAAACAAACTGTCAAACGGATGTGAAATGATGCAATGGTTTTAAATGTGGCGTACACCCTACATGTATCAACCTCGTGTCATCGTTGATCTTGATCCTCTACTTTTGCTATGAGTTTCTTAGCTGCTCCATTGTTTTTGCTCACTGTGACAAAGGTGGACCTTCATGTCTTAATTGGTTTGAAATAATGTAATATGCATATTTAGATGAGAGATTAAAAAGTGCTCTGTAGGATTTGTACCAGAAGTTGTTTTATCCTTTGATGTCTCCATAGCTCTCCTTTAAACGTCTCCATGACCGTGCGTTCACCTTTCCTTTGTTATACAGATATTTTTTACAAACCTCTCAGGCCTTGGATTTTTTCCAAGTAGTAAAATCACACATGCAATTAATCTAAATGGTGCACAGCTGAGCAGCAAAAGTTTAAATCCTCTGGGTGATACTTCAAAGCACCTTTCTAATTTTATGAATAGACAAAAATTTATGTTACATCCATTCCTATATTTATGTTTCAGTCATGAAATAATTTGACAACATGACGTACATGGAACAACTTAACGGGTCAAGTAAATCTTGACAATCAGAATATGTAAAGAAAGTTTTTCTTTGCAGTTTTCCATCACAGAGTTCTGCCT